TTTTTTTTTAAAAAAAGAGTGAAATTGCTTAATTGCTTCCTTTCTGTAAGCTGTCTCATAGCACAATGAAAGTAACATACTGAAAGAAGCTTTCCCATATATTTTAGGATGTTCAGTGTTTCTTCTTACACCAGTTCCTGAAACAAACCCACGTCTACAATGGCGAAGGGAAATGCCAAATGTTCTCTGTGGCTCTATAGGATGTCACATAAGATCATAACTTAATACGGTCTGAAAATACTTTGGGCTTGTACATTCACACACACCCCTTCTCCCAGTTCAGCAACAAGAAGATCAGATATACAGTAGGCCCTCCATTTTCAATGGGGATCCATTCCAGACCCCCTCCCCCATAAAAGTTGAGATTCACAAATATTCAAGCCTCATAGGCTTGAATGGTGCACATCTCCATGGGTGCCCGCAGGGGTACACCCCATTGATTTTAATGGAGGTCGCTCCTTCATGAATATGCAAAACCGTGGACTTCAAGTCCGCGAGAATGGAGGAGTGGCTGTATTCAACTAGCCCACAGTATGTCTTACGGAGGACAAAAAGGGGTTATTTTAAACTACAGTTTGTCTAAATAAGCCATGATCAAATTGTGCATTCTATGCATGGCTCATTTGAAGTATGATTAACACTAACCACAGGTCCTACTTTAGACAAACCAAAAATAAGTAATTTCTTGAAAATGGAAATGGGTGTTTCTGGTTTCATCATAGCTTCACTAGAGGAGAGGGCAGGTATCATCTTGTTTCATATGTTTTTATCTTGTCTAAATTATTCATAATTTAAATTCTGAAGTGTTTCAAATTGTTGTATATCCCCCTGAGATATACAATATAAAGAGGATGGAATATAAATGTTTTAATTAATAAATAAAAAATAAATGCTTTCACATTCTTTTTTCCATATGCTGATAGGAAAACTAACTTAAATGGATGAATCACTTGTATTTGTTAGAGAAGTGAAATCTGTTTCGATACTGTCCAATTATCACAGTTTGGTGGGAACAGTCCCAATTAATCCTCTGTCACCCTACTTTTTAAACTGCTTTTAAAAATGTTCCAGTTTTTCTCTCCTTCTCCTACATTTCCCTTGGCTTATCTACAAACTACAAACTGAATTCAAGGTGCAAAGGTTGTTTGCACTTGAGTAACTCAGCAGGTGGAGAAGAGGGAAGAGGGGAATCTTGCTCTTCTCAGTAGGTTCAGGCAAAGCAAACTGATACTTCTCTTAGCACATATGTTTTTCCTCATTAATAACTTTTGCCATCTTTACCATGCTCTGATGTTGCTTGGCCACATGCATCCTGGTTTTCATATGTGAAATGTTAGAAAGTATACATTCCCAGTACCTTTGAGATAATGGCTTCTTTGCCACTAATAGTAGTAAGAAAATATCAATTGTAAAAGCAACATTACTAGACACTGGAGAAAAATCTTTATCTCTGACTCTCTCTCCACCCCACTCTTCAGTGTTATTCATCAAGACTGCTGTTTCTCAAATCACAAAATCTTGAATTCCACTAAGTGGAAGGAAAACACCAATCTGAGAAGACACAGAGCAACAAGGAAAGGCAAGTAGGGTCCTCCTGGCTTCAAGGGCCAGACAGTGAGC